TGCGATAGCCTTATTCTATCCCTATTGGCTTACTAACAGCAGGCCGTCGCAAGTTCCCCTACATCTCCCACTTTTAGGCCCTGTGTGACGTCAGAGGCTTCACTTTAGGTTTGTCGGACAGTACGCAAATGTATAACAATTTCATGGCGGAAATAGTTCTAGGAGTAAATAAATCTAAACTTGTACATGTAAATAAATTAAAATTAGCATACATAAGATTAGATTCCGTTTAAAAATATTTATATTTTTACCAGCATTGTATAGTTGGAAAAGCTGTTTCCATGGGAAACATCTTTCCAGTATGGGGGGGAGGTGTTATGTGGCTCACGTGGCGCCCTGTAATGTGAAATCTGAACCCCACCGAATTCGAATTGTGCAGCAATATAACCGAAGCAATGAACAAAAGAACTCGATAACATATGCATATAATGTACTGTAAAATTTCATTAACTACTATTTATAATTACTCGTTTAGATAAATGTTTATCGTGGTTGCTACGTACAGAAACATTGCTGAGGTATAAAGCACTGACTTCTAAAGGAAATCATATATAATAAAATAATCTTTAATTTAATTGGAGATTATAATTAAACAAAAACATGTTAACATTGAATAATGAATATCGACGACGCTTGAAGATTCATTTGCTTTTCCTTGCTCAAAGAGTCTAGACGTATTATTTTATAATAAAAGAAATAGTTAAACCATTTCATTCATCTTTATTCTTACCAAGTTATTTATTGTTCTGTAAAAGATTCAACGTTACATTTTTTCATTCATTAAATTTACTAAACGGTCATGAACAGAGCGCTTTAGCGCTCCACGGGCGACATCCCTCAAATTCCACAAGAATCCACATAACACAGAATATATGTGTATAGTTACTAGTTTTAAGTTAGCAGCAGTTAGGTCTAGTGTGTAAAGTAGGTTACGATCTAGGTTAAAATTTAGTTTAAGACCTAAGGTATAAAAATTGCGGAAACGGATGCTAGTCTCTTATTTTTGGTTCCTTTGTGTATATCTCGCTACAATAATACAGAAAATATATTTATTAAGAAAACTGGGTTTCTGATGGTAGTGTCTCCTTTAGGCACATATTCTTCCATATGAGAATACTGCTACAAAAAGAAAATCAAATAGTACCAGTTGATATCGTGTTTTGGATAGGTTAAAATTGACGTTTAATGTATGATTGTGTGTAATGATTATGTGCATACTTCCTGACTACAAAGCTTTGTTATAGAAAAATTGATATCATAGAACGTGAAATAACTGTTCAAAAATACCAGAATCGTTTTATTAGTGTTTGAGATGGCGGATCATTCGCTGCCGTCCGACATACTCGACGATTTAAGCAGGTTAAATTTTGAAAATTATTCTTATAAAATATTTTTCCATATAATTATTTATCTTTGTTCGTTTTGTTTCATTTTAATTTGAAAATACTATGCAATACCTTACATTACATTATTCAATTTTGTGTTTTCAGCCGATTTATTATCAACGTACCTGAAGAGGAAAGGAAAGATTTAGTTCGAATATGTTTTCAAATTGAACTAGCTCACTGGTTTTATTTAGATTTTTATTGTACCGATGAAAATCCAAAATTAAGACGATGTGGTATGAAGGAATTTGCTACACATATTTTTTACCACATACCATTCTTAAAACCTCATGTAGCTAACATAGATAATATTCTTGAACAATGGCGCGAATATAAGCAAAATGTTCCAACATTTGGAGCAATTGTATTAAATGAAGATTTAACTAAGGTATTACTTGTTCAAAGTTATTGGGCAAAAAGTAGTTGGAGTTTTCCTAAAGGCAAAGTCAATGAGGATGAAGATCCATCCCATTGTGCTGTTCGAGAAGTTCTGGAAGAAACTGGTTTTGATATTTCAAATTTAATAGATGAAAATGAATATATTGAATCAGTGATACATGAGCAACTAGTGAGGTTATACATAATATGTGGTGTTCAAAAGGATACAAAATTTCAACCAAAAACGCGAAAAGAGATAAAAAATGTAGAGTGGTTTTCTTTAGCTGATTTACCTAATAATAAGAAAGACATGACCCCGAAAGTAAAAACAGGAGTTGGCCCAAATTCATTTTTCATGGTTATTCCTTTTGTAAGGTAATATGCTGCTTTGAAAGTTAAAGAGATATGTTACATTATGGCATGCGTGTCATTACAGTTATTCATAAAATCCTTGCACACATATTAAGTCTGTGTATTGTTATAAGATATGGTCAATATTAAACATGTGTAAAATATAAGCATTGATATTAAGAAAGAACAGGAAGTAAATGAATGTCTTTTGAAAGCTTAATTTTTCTATAACAATTTCCAAACAGGAAGATGAGGCGTTGGATATATGAGAAAAATATAAATACAGTAAGGAGACATAGACACAGATCTCTAGGTGATGTTGAAACTGTTTCAAAGAATAAGCGACAAATGCTTCCTCATTCTATTCAAGTTAAACTCTTAAATTCCATGTTACTTCACTCTTCTTTTGCGTACTTTAGCACAATTACGTGTAAATTACTATTTGCAGAATGACATCCCGAGTTTTAAAGATGTAAAAAGCTTCCGACAGTCAAACACTTCACCGGCGAGAAATCGACGTGGCATACACGATAATAAAAGTACCATGTCAAAAGCAGCGATTAAACGTAATTTATTCGGAGATCAAAATGAAGATGAAACCTCAGCTGTTCTTGCCATGCAATTGACAGACAGTCCACGAAGTCAAGAACCCTGCTCATTTTTAATGGATCCAGCTATTCAATCTTTAAAATGCAACGAATTCAGCTATAAAGCTGTCGCTAAGGAAGTGATAGGTGCAGTGTTACTTTGATTGTTTTGATACACTATTCAAAAATTAATATTAATCAGTATTGTCCTTTTCAGATCAAGGATCTTGGGAATGTCAAAATATAGAAATTTCCGAAAAAAATATAAAATCTTTGTTATTTGGCAAAGCAGCAAATAAATTGCAAACAGATTTAAAAACAATGCCTTCTCCATTTACGGTAATGGATCATGGTACATCGCGTATTTTTTCAACAGATTACATTGAAACTAAAAAGTATTCCACCGAACTTTGTTCAATAATTTGGGCACACTTTAAATTTGATAAACAAGCAATACTTAATTGTTTGTAAAATTGTTTAGGACCGGTGATTTTAGAAAGAAGGGGAATACGCTAAGGATAGATCTACATATATGTATGGCTGTACTAAATTTGTATGATATGTATACAAATTTAAAAGAACGATCGTATGTAAAAATGAAAAATTAAATGTAATTTAAACTATGGTAATCTCAACAGTTTTTTGTGAAACTGTTTATGGTTCTCAAGATATCTTATTATCAGGTACAATGAGATATAAGATGAATACATTATGAAGTCGTAATTATTCTTACATACTTGAGGAATTTTCTTTCTTTTATTACACACCCCACGTATATGATACAGTGAAAGAAAATATACTACTTATGTATATACATCAACATATGCAAAACTATAATTTATACAAAATTACGATATAATTTCTCTTACACATACGATAAAATTATAAAGCTGCGAGCTTTACGAGTACTCATTTTTGATGTAATGAAAACAGCCTCCGTATTTAATTTTTATTAACAACGTTTTTATTAGCAATCGATAAAAAATGCTATGAGAAATATTTCTCGCATCCTTTACTCTAGAAATAAATGATTAAAAACTTCAACAGCATATATATTTGCCATAATTTTAAAAACTATTCTTCTATTATTTATGGTACAATAAATTATATATTTTAATACATCTATCGCTTGAAAGGTACAAAGAAGGCAAAGATAAATAACATAACAGGAACAACAAAATACACTACTCTTTTTAAAAGAACAGTGCCTGTACCTCTCACACTTTTTATAATCTCATTATTCAACGCAAAAACTGTTTTACTTTCTTCAAGAAGTTTAGTTTTCGTATCATCGTCCAACATTTCCGCAATTGTATTCATAGTATCACGCATATGTTGTTTGAGCTCAAAAATATTACTGTTCCCAAAGTTTGTAATATTATTACCATTCATTTGAAATGTTTGAAATGGCCAAATTTTGTGCATAAGTTGCCTTTTTTTACGTAAAATAATTCCACCGCTTAAAAGACCCATGTACAGATGATAAATATATGCTATTAACAGGATGGGTTCTGTATTTTCTATGTTTCTTAAATGTACCAAATATTTAATAACACTATCCCTGTAATTTACAAAGATGTTAATCATACGCCTTAAATGGTAGAAGGGATTCATTTTGAATACAGATCAAATTTCTTCAAGATTTCTACGGTTGCAGTTTCATTAAGAATATAGAAATGTACATATAAAATATAGATATGAGTATGCAAATATTATGCAAACAATTTACCTAGGGCTGTAGTTTTTCTCCCATTCTTTTCCTAGATAAAATGCAAGGTCACATTCAAAAGCCTCTGTACGAAGAAGTTGGTCATCAATTAGAAACAATCCTATTTCTGTATGTTTCCATCTAATCATAGCAAGTTCCAAATATCGGAAAATTTCATAAAAAACCAAAAGACCATCAGCCCATACAGAATTATCAAGAAATCCTATTAAAAATCAAGGATTCTTAGTATTTTAGTTTAATAGTATTTTATCTTAAGCTTTATCTAATCGATTACTACTTTGTTAATGAAAATCTTACCACAAACATTATACTACTTAATACAGCAGCTATGTATAATTTATTTTCTTCTAACATAAACTTACTTTACAAACAATGAAAAAATAGTTAAAAGTTAATATTAAAAAATAACATCACTATTAACCTATATGCTAGACAGTAATGTTGCAAACAAATGAAAAATTTGAATCAGTACAAACATGTTCGTTGAAAAAATGTCATCTTACCAAATGCTAATTTTGTATTCACTAAAGTGTCACTGATGGTATGAATTTCTTTTGTGGCTTTCCGCATTTTTTTGCAAAATGTATCTTGATCTTTGTTTGTCATTTTCATTAATTTTGTCAATTTGGGAACATATACATATATATTCACACGTGCGAGTTTCGACAAGTGTAATAAGATCAATAGAATTTATTGTATCATTTTGTCATTAATTCCTTCACACTTGAGATATCTTACGGTTGTAAATATGAAACAGTTATAAGCACCATTTCACGTCTGACATTTCTACAATAACGTACGACAGTTGTGCGCTTGTAAAGAGTGGATCACATGCTCCGAAAAATCACATGTTTAAGCTCGATTGTAGCGTGTTGAATAAATTAGATATTGTTGAAAGTTTATAAAATATCGGTAAAAGTGAGAGTTGCGCTTCTTATTTTTTGTTTTCTTTATACATATATTATCCAACATGGGATATACACAGTTTAAGTTTTAGGTTTGTAGTAAAACTTTCAAACCTTAATGAAGTTAGTGTTTATTATTACCCACACGGTTGGTTTTCTTTGATCTATCATTTATTTTCTTCTGTGTTTTTGATCCACACTGTTATTGCGTTATTTCGTTTTCAATTATTCATCAAAGAAAAACGGTGACGTTTCTTCTTGTTTCTTACTTGAATAGATTATAGGCAAATTTATATTGATATTCGATAAAATCTACATTTTATGATGCCGCACTTGTATAAATCGTATCTTGCACTCATGTTACCCCCTTCTCCTTCTCTTTTGTATTCTGATTTATCACATTATATATGATTGTACGTGATGTAAATTATGTATATGTACATATATTGGAAGTATTGGATGAAAAAAGTGGGAAGATATGAAATTAAGAGGGTAAGAAAATGGATTTTCTGGGCGTAATGATTTATTTTGATATTGAATGCGGCAAATTTGACAAGTAATGGATAGTATAAAGGTAATTGAAACTGCTACGAAGACAGTACACTTTTTGCAGTGGCTCTAGCAGTTCTCTCTGCGGATACGTGGATTTTCTATGGCAGTGGTATACAGCCTGTGTATATTGTAAGTGGCTGCGGTATTCGGCTAGTCAGATCGATGAGACGCCGTCGTTGTGGCGCCTCGTAAACGCCCAGCCTTGCTGTCTTCGACAAACTAGTGCTTTTGGGCCCATTTGAGCTCCATCGATATTTTCATGGGATATCAATGAATATTGCTCAATGATAGGAATTATTTCAAATTAGTTTTACATACTTATTCGTTTTCGTATTCGTTTTCGTTAACTTTATACTGGTTTATAAATATAGAAATATACATAGTTGGATTTGAACGAAAATTAAGCAAAATTTTACTACACTTGATTCGTTCTAAACACTTTTGCCAAGTTTGAGTCGAACTTAAGAAGTAGAGGGTTAGAAGAATAATCTATTAATGTTCATTATGCAGGTGGTACGAGAGGTAAAGGTAGACGTGTTTTATCGCAGGGGAAAAATTTGAAATCTTTAAAAGGAGGCCACACGCGTTATAGCTGCTGAAAGTATCGCGTCACTGAATTCACTGTGTAAGAGGCGAAGTGTAAAATAATTCGAACGATGTAATAATGATGCTGATGCAAATACTGAAGTACTTAATAAGCACGAACGTGTATGTATACGTATATACGTATTACTGAACGGTTCCTGAACAGAGAAGTCCGGTGTTTCGCTACGCTTCGCCAGGTTTTTAGTCACGGACTCTTTAATTAGTATTTTAACTGCACTAGAGAACTGAGCAGAAATTTTAGGTATGCATTTATACGAAACGCAGTCTTGAAATTTTAAGCAAGCATTTAATTTCTCGTTATTAGCGTTGAACCGTATATTCTTTAACAGAATCAAACTGAGTTTTATTTTGATCATCATTCCGAAGTATGTATTTGTGTTTCTTTCTTATTCCTAAATGTAACGTTGCATTTGTAAAATGATTCATTTCGAAAATAAATGTCATTTTTCGTATATGATGTATAATCTATACGAATGTAGACACATACGTATATACGCAGTAGATTGAAACATGTGATGTGGAGGTTTCGCATGCATCGAAACGTCATACATGTGTCAACGCGATGCTTTGCGTGAACGCATTTGCTACGTCACTGTATACTAGCATGTTTGTAGGATAAGCGTGTAGAATGCAGGGCGTATCGTCATTACGACAAGAGACAGTATCCGTGATTCGAAGAGATGCTATATTTTCGTTTCTGATATTCTCAACACGGTTAGTAAGGGGTGTCGCTCAATACTAGTACCGCGCACTATGGCCAGCACCGTGAAAATTCTGATTCGTACCCTGATCACGTTCACATCAATGCAGAATTTTATTTTGATAACAATGTACATACGAGCATATGATGAGAACAGCAAGAATTCTTGCTGAAATGTTACAAAAATAATAAAATTCTATGGGCACATTGATATACTGAATTATACGTTGACATCCTATTTATAGGATATTGCAGAACCATTTTCTTTTCACGAAAACAGTAGACGCGTTATGTTAAAAATTGTAACCAAAATACAAATATACGCACGCGCGTGCGTGCACACAATCACACATTTTACATATACGTATAATTTCACACTTGATAATGTGCAGAAGAAAAAATTGATTGAAATATTTTTTTTTTGTTTTTTTTTTTTTTAACAAGAGAATCAAAGTAAGAAAAATTTGAAAGGGTAAAGGCGGATATATAACAACCTTTCTGATGTATTAATTTTTTTGCAAAAATTAAGGTAGAAATATACCACTAATAGGGTACGATGTTTCATAGGTACAGGGTTGAGGATTGTGAGATGCAATGCGGCAATCGAAGATGCCAACGAATCAATAAATCGACCGCGTGATCAATGGATATTTTAATCGCATGGTATTGTTGGTACAAAATTTTCATCGATTTGTAATAGCTATAACTGGTTGATAAGTAATATACAGATGAAGAGAGAAATTGCGCTCACTTGAAAATATGCGAAATCTTAAGTGTAATTCAATAATTAGGGATATTTCAAGCATCAGTAAATAGAAATTGTAAAAAATTTGTTCAGTAAGTAGCAAATGTAATTGACGAAACAACAGAAATCGTACCTACAGCTGCAACTATATGTAGTTTACTACATCTACGTGTACGTATGTATACTTCAAAGCGGCTTCGTTACGTAACGTAATTACAGTGACGTAACTATCAAAATATATCTTTTTGGATTTTTCGTTTTGAAGTTAAGGCGTAAATTAATATTAATTATGTTTTGGTATTCTGACAATATAAGGAAATTAATTTACTTATTTACAAATATAAAAGCGACTTATACAACGTGAACAAAACTTTCTTAACTCTTTTTTTTTTTAATATATTATTCAGTGTATCATTATGTATGAACTGTGTTAACATTTTATCTGATTATTTTGTTATTTTGCTTTAACAATAATACATAACGTGGCTAGTAATTGTTTATAAACGTATTTGTTCTATAATTGCGCTTCTCGATAATAATTCAAAGCGAGGTTCGTTATCAATATCGACTTTACATTTCTTTCTTTTTCTTACCTTTCTTTTTTTTTCTTCTTCC